CTTTCAACCTCCTCTTCATCATCGTCATTCCCCTCCCTACAGCAGCTCTGAGAAAACAAACACACAAAGCAGAATGATGATGCAAAACAAGGTTGAAAATGTAGTAAGTCAATAAAGGGTACTTTAAAATTTTAAAAGTGCACTTCACCTCTTGCCTTACAGGGTTTAGTTACATACTGCATGGGACAAGCGCCGAAACATCAAAGCAAAACTTCACGCTAAAAAACCCTGATGTAATATTTGAGCATAAATGTGTTTGAGTTTATGGGGAACGCAATAAAATAATCACACAAAAAAACCTCACAGATGTTTATATCTTTACAGTGTAACTTATTATTGTATGTGTAAAGCAGTAACTGGCCTATTATAAAATATATACAGAGCTTAATGTTTTAATTATGTGCCCTATAAACATCATACAGATAATTTCTTTGGAGTTTAAACTACTGCATTTATTTATTTTAAAAAAACACTAAACAACTTCCTCACATAATGATATGTCTATTAAGTCTGTTAAATGATTTGTATGTATCTATAAGCCATATGAAAAATCAATGAGGCTTTCATCATAAAGAATTACCTTGGCCATAACAGCAGCGTAGGACTTGTAGAGACTGTCATTGTCATGCTTACTGTGAGGAAAAAAAGAGATTGTCAGGGCAAAAACTAGTGCATAATTATTGAAAAGCATCCTGTCACTGCTAGGGTTCAAACTAAGTTTACACAACTGAACATAAAAACGTCACAATATGCTAAGCAGTGTGTTGGTATAGAAAATGATAAATGTTAAGGTTAATCCTAACCTGTGTGACTGACAATCTACACTAAGGGTTTTTATATTATAAAGGAATAGGCAACGTAAAAAATGCCCATTGATGAAACAAAATAATATTACAGTCTGAATATAAAGAACAAATAGATTCTAACACATTTTGTCCAACAAGCTGACAAAATCTTAAAACTATGATTATATCACTAAAGATGTATATAACATTTATATATACAAATGGCTAAATTAACAATATAACAATAAACGATGCTGACTACAACTTAATTAGCAAGACTGGTTAAGACGAACAAAGAAAAGATGCAGAATATACCAGAAAGGTTTCTGCAGGGGAGAATGTGTAGATTTATTTAGTAACTCAGAAATAGTACACAGTTCAGGCTTTAGATGTAGAAAGGTAAAGTCAGCAGGGTAATAAATAAATCATAATAAAATAATAATAACTGCACTCCAGGCTAATTTAGAATTGACTTTCCCAACCAGTAATAAAAGCAGATCAGAGTTTGTGCTGCATAAACACACACTAACCTGCTTTCGGTCAGGGCACTTCGACTGAAGAGTGTAATGAGTTGGAGAAGTGGATCGATCAACCTGGCACCTTCATCCACATCCTTCACCTCCCCTTTGTTGCCTCCACACAGTTTTATCACTCCACCCTTCTGGAGTCCAGGGAATAAGAGCAAAACATACAATGAATGGCCAAATTTTATGTTGCACACTAGTCATCCACACCTTTTTATGTCCGACTCAAAAACGCAAACACAAAACATAAAGATCCCAGCTGTCGCAAAATGAAAACTTCAAGTTTGACCTAAAACGAAGACTCGGTTTGTTGCAATTTTAATAATAATAATAATGACGATGATGTTGATGATGATGATAATGGAAGAAGAATAAGGAGTTGTGTTATAACAGTGATATCCATAAGAACAAAACTTCCCTTGAGTCTTGACTCTAGTTAATTTAAAGTAAATTATAGGTGCTGGTCATAAAATTTGAATATCATGATAAAGTTGATTTTATTTCAGTAATTCCATTCAAAAAAGTGTAAATGAACAACATTTAAGAAAAAAAACACAACAGAAACACAACATTTGCAAAAACAGAATTACATTTGAAAAAACTGAATAATTAAAAAAAATTATATAATCTCAGTTTTCAAAAATGTAATTCAGTTTTTTCTAATGTAATTCCATTTTTTCATAATTCCATTTTTCTAATGTGATTGCGTTTTTTCTAATGTAGTTGTGTTTCTTTCAAATGTGTATCTGGCCACTTCCTCTTTGGCTTAATGTAATTCCGTTTTTTCAAATGTAATTCCATTTTTTTCAAATGTTGTTCATTTACAACTTAGGGCCACCATAGAAAATTGTACAGGTATATTATATTTATTCATGACACACAGACTGATATATTTCAAATGTTTATTTCTTTTAATGTTGACTATCATAACTGATAACTAATGAAAACCCCAAATTCAGTATCTCAGAAAATTAGAATGTTGTGAAAAGGTTAAATTTTGAAGACACCTGGTGCCACACTCTAATCAGCTAATTAACTAAAACACTTGCAAAGGCCTTTAAATGGTCTCTCAGTCTAGTTCTGTAGGCTACACAATCATGAAGAAGACTGCTGACTTGACAGTTGTCCAAAAGATAACCATTGACACCTTGCACAAGGAGGGCAAGACACAACAGGTCATTGCTAAAGATGCTGGCTGTTCACAGAGCTCTGTGTCCAAGCACAATAATAGAGAGACGAAGGGAAGGAAATGACGTGGTAGAAAAAAGTATACAAGCAATAGGGATAACCACACCCTAGAGAGGATGGTGAAAAAAACCCATTCCAAAATGTAGGGGAGATTCACAAAGAGTGGACTGTAGCTGGAGTCAGTACTTCAAAAACCACCACGCACAGACGTATGCAATACATGGGTTTCAGCTGTCCTATTCCTTGTGTCAAACCACTCTTGAACAAGAGACAGCATCAGAAGCGTCTCGCCTGGGCTAAAGACAAAAAGGACTGGACTGTTGCTGAGTGGTCTGAAGTTATGTTCTCTTATGAAAGTAAATTTAGCATTTCCTTTGGAAATCAAGGTCCCAGAGTCTGGAGGAAGA